TAATAAAACTGATTTAGATTGTGTTCTGTTTTAAGAAAGCCCCATGTTTTCTAATTGAAAATGGCTTTGCCTTCATCTGTCATAAATTTCTAACAGATATGCCTTTCAGACAGAAGCCTGGGGAGAAGTTTGATAAGGCTACAACTGAGCTGGTACTTCTGAAGCTAAGATGGTGTTTTTGATATTGGTGTTTTTTGGGGGGGGGTTAGGGGGGGCTAGAAGTTACATGTATGTAGCTATTCAATAGGTCGTTAAGAATTACAGAAAGCAAAAAAACAAACAAACAAACAAACAACAACAAAAAAACCTCCTGCAAGGTGATCTCTGACTTAAAGGAGTAAATGTGTTAGATCACATTTATTTACATCCGTTGTAAATAGAGCATAACTCCAGTCCTAAAGTGGATTTTGTCAGGGCTCATTTTCCAGAGATGTTTGCTTTCACACAGTATTATGAAATATATATTGCACATTGCCATAAATATATCCCACAAAGATTTCACATATAGGCATGGTTATACTTAGTGCAGTGATAAAGATATTAAATTCCACTGTTGAAATAACTAGTTATATTTTTCAGGGTTTAATGAGAGAGCAGAACAGATCAAAGTAGATGGTAGACATCTGTGGAGAAGTAGTTGCAACTCTTGTCTTTGATGATTTAGTTTGTACCACATGCTTATAGGGCAGAGGACGGTTAAGTAATTTGATGCAACTTAAGTAGTGTTTTAACATAATAAGAAGGATGCCTTTTACCTTACACACTGACTCCTGCCGTTCATCTAGCTGCTTAATCAGACATAATTATTACAGAGAACAGCAGAGATTTAGAGAAAGACTTAGACATGCCCAGTAGGATTTTGTATTTTTATGTATGCAGAAAACTCTGCCATGTTGCAGTTTCCTAAGTGCTGCTCAGTTTCAAAAGCATTTGGCATGGAGATCTTCTATTCTACAGAGCACCCCTTTATGCAAGTACACTTAGATCAATCCTAGATGAGATGTGCTTCTATAACAGCTCACTGCATGTTATATCGCAAATATATATTGAACATATGTTTGACCTTGTGATGCACCTTCTGGTGGTTTTCGGCCTGTGTTCGCCTTAAACAGTACTTTCAGGGCTACTGATATACATTGGCGCACATAACAATGGAGCTGGACACCAGAGGTTTGAATTCCCACTGTGGCACCTGAGAGGGGCCACTTGAGATCACCCATGGCATATGTGACTGATGGAGTTACATGCCCGACATGCAACTTGTGTAGTCCTGGATGAGTTGTATGGTTTTAGGGTGCTAGCAGAAGAAGTGAGACCGCTTGGGAAAACTTTTTCCCTAGAAAACCTGGGGAGGGTCACAATAAGTCAGAATTGACTTGGTGGTATATAATTATCATTAATGACCTTCTTATCTAGTGGTAAGAAAAACCAAGCCTGGCAAAATCTTCTTTCTCCATTTGAAATGCCATCACCAGCTAGATATACCTGCTGGACACTCTCCTCATATCCTCTTCTTGGGTCTAACACTATTGAAAGTGATCTGAGGCCATGAAAAACTACTGAATAGGAACTGAGGCTATGTATCTAAATGTGTTCAGCTACAGAATTTAAATAAATATGCATTAGGTCCCTGCTTCTAAAGTTCTGTGAAATAATCCTTAGAATTTGACCTCCTGGGAAATGATTGCATTCTGTCCAACTCAAAACAGAACCATGAAATGTGTTTTTGAAGTGTGGTATCATTTTTTAATGAAATAATGAAAATTAATATTACAGGCCTTGTCATGCTCTTGCATTTTTGTGCCTTACTTTTATCTAACTTTCATAGTACTGATTTTCAATCAAGTACTAACCTATAAAATGATAAAACTGTGAAGTGTTTGAGAATGCTTAATCAAATGCATTTCCATGCATACTAAAGAGAAAGTTTTCCTGCTCAGAGTATGACTTGATTCATAGACACTGGCTTAGTATAGTAAATGGCACTAAAGTAGGCCTGTTGAGTCAATGGAGATTTGGTGAATCAACTCCTTCATGAGTTCCATTGATTCAAATAGACCTACTCTAGTTGCAACACACTTTGATATAGTAAGTCACAGCTACAGTAGGCCTATTTAAATAAAAGGAACTTTTAGGGGAGTTCTCTAAACATTGAGTCATGGCAACTGGATTTAACAGTGGTCCTGATCTTTCTGGGAACAGATGAAAGGGCAGCATGATAAATAGCAGACAGGTAGAGGCCTTAGATACAATCTGTCTCATATTGATCATGCTGGCCTTTTTATCAGTCCTCAGAAAGATCAGGACCACACCCACCAGAAAGATCATTGTTAACAACTGTTAACGACCCATGACAATAGGTGGAGAAGGACCTCAGAAGTGGGAGTTTCACTCACCCTCAGTCCTTTGTTCATCTAAGTAGCCTATTCAGACCAGGGAAAAGTGAAACCAATGTGGAGGATATATCAGGGGTCTCCTACCTACTCTCCTCAGACTGAAGAAGCTGCTTGGATGAGTAGCGAAATGTTTCAGCCCAATAAGAAAGACATGCCATGACTCAACTTCCAGATAACCTCACCAGGATGACTGAGAATCTGCATAGATATTTTGGAGGAGTTGACTCACCATATCTTGATTGATTGAATGGGCTTACTCTAGTACAATCTATGACACTAAGCAAGAGAATTTCCCCTGTGCTGTGTAGTATATAGTTTTCCTTCCAACTGTAAAGAACAGATGAAGGTCTAAAAGTCTTATTTGAAAAGAAGAGGAACTTAAAGAACTGTATTCAAAAACAGTAATTTACCTATGGGAACTCCTAAATACACATGTAATTTTTAAAAAATACCACAGCACTTACAGAATTGATATCTTGGCACTTTTGAAAACCTAGAAAATAATTTTTCACAAGAATAGGGTTTTAATAATACTTGTGAAAGATGGCTATATAACATTCTTTTCTGAAAAGAAACAGTGGCAAATCAATAGGGTTGTGCCCTTAATTCTGGATGTCAGGCAAAATCCATGTTTGAAAATTGATAGTATTTGTGCCATGAGAAGAAAGGTCAACCTGAGCTTTCTACAGGGAATCAAAATCCTATATTGATGGAATGTTATTAAAAGAATATCCATGGAGAAAGAAAAGGCCCTCTCTAATTGGGCACGAAAGTAATATGATGGTTCTTTCCATCTCTTTCATCCTTCTGCTCTGTGCACTTCCTTGAGGAAACACTGTGAAGGAATTAAGAACTATGATGATATCCAGTTCCTATGACTTCAGTGATTTTCAATCACTACATTTAATTCTCTTTCTCCATTTTGACTGGTGGCCTTCTAGAATAGAGTAGGTTTTGATTCTTTTGCTGACACTACAATTCTGTCTATGTCAGTTTGCAAACTGTGACCCTTCTGTTGTCGTTGGACTTCACTTCCCACCATCTGTGACTGTTGGCCAGGTTGATTGCAGCTGGTAGAATCTGGAATCCAATGATATCAGAACGGCCACAAGTTCCTCAAGATTGCTGTAGGGTAAGAGACCATGGTTCTAGGCAGCAAAGAGCTGCCATAACAGGTCTGCTAATATTGAGCACCTTTCATTCGCAGTGGTAATGCTGAGACACAGGGAGTTCTATTAATCATCACCTCTTGCCTGCAGAAAGAACAATGCCCAACAAACATAGCCCATAACTAACAGGGCATTCCTTTAATTTGCACAGATCATTTCTTAAAGGATCAAAAATAAAAATGCTTTAGCATTGTACTTTGACTCCATGCATAATTATTTCCTTCTCTTTTTTCAAATGTAATGCCTTCCAGAACATTTCCCTCTTCCATGTTTTATGTGATCTCTTGCAGCATATTTAAATTGAATGTGATACATCGTCATTTTTTTCTTAAGAGTTAATATGTTTTCTTACAGTACATGAACTAATTTTGCATGATGACCTAACCCTGGGTCTTCCACATTTGTATCTGTGGTGTTGTTGTTATATGTCGAGAAGTTGCATCCAACTTATGGCAACCCTACGAATGAGATATCTCTATTTTTATTTACCGTATTTTTTGCACCATAAGACACACTTTTTTCCCACAAAACAGGGGGGTGGAAAGTCTGTGCGTCTTATGGAGCGAAGAAAACAGTTTATATTTTCCTGTTTTCTTCTCCTAAAAAATTGGTGCGTCTTATGGAAAGGTGCGTCTTATGGAGCGAAAAATATGGTATTTATTTAGGTTTATACCCTGCCCATTTAGTGAGCATGCCACTACTCTGGGCAGTTTACAAAATATTATAAAATATGCAGCTGAAATATTAAAAACATATGAAACATACTAAAAGAAAACAAACAGAACCACCCCCCCCCCAATAAAACCACCAATCTGGGACATGGCCGACAACAGGCCAGCATAATTTTACGAAATTTACCCAGGAAGGCCTGGGTAAAAAGCCAGGTTTTAATTTGCTCGCGGAAGCTCAGGAGGGTGGGGGCCAGTTGCACCTCCACAGGAAGACAGTTCCAGAGCAGAGGAGCCACTCCTGAAAAGGCCCTGTTTCTGGTTGATGCCTTCCAGACCTCTTTAATGGGAAGATGACCTGAGGAAGAGGCGCTCTGACAGTAGCAAGGTCCTAAACCATAAAGAGCTTTATAAGTTTGCATCCAGTACCTTGAATTTGACCCAGAAGCAAACTGAAAGCCAGTGTAGGTGAGCCAAGACAAAATGCCCTGCCCTCCACAACCCTGTTCACCTCTTATAAGAACAAACCTTTGATTTCCTTTAGGGAGTCAATCAATCTCATCTTTGGTTTTCTTTTTCCCTGCTGCCTTACACCTTTCCCAGCATTATTGTCTTTTCCAGAGAATATTAATACCTGTGTACTTAGCAAAATTTAGATTTTTTTAAAGTAAGTTTTATTTGGTCATGAGAATGAAGATGGAAAACTGATGTGCTGTATATTGCCTGCAATCTGGTTCATAAACAACTCCCCTGTTTTTCTTGGAAAGGCACTCAGGCGTGAATTGAAGGATAAAGAACAAGCCATCCTAAATGCTGTAGACCAAGCACGAGTGTTCCTCGCTGATCAGCCAATTGAAGGTCCTGAAGAACCAAGAAAAAATTTGCATTCAAAATCAGGTCAGTTGCTACCAATTTCATATAGAAATAGTTTTTAGAGCAGTTTAATTTTTAAAAATCTAATTTCTCAAATTAAAATTATTGTTATGTTGAATGTAGACATGGGATATTCATATTTGTATCTCACGGGATACAGATATTAATATTAGCACCACAGGTACCTGGAAAAACTGGATCTCCCTCTCTCGAACCGCAGGTCCACTTACTGCACACAGTGTGCATGACCAGCATCATTCTCATCGCACCACTAGGGAAACAGCCCAGCCGATGCTTCCCCACCTCCCTATGCAGCCGACCAGTAAGGAGGTGGAATGACAAATCTCTCCGCTCAGCTGCTGAGTGGTTGGCTGTGTGGGGTTTCAAAATCATTGTTTTGATAAATCTGCATTGCTCTCAAAATTGTTTTTGCCAAATTGTGCATGTTCTTATGCAGAACCTGGAAGTAACTGTTATAGTGTGAAGGCGACAACGGGGGCTAATAAAGATAACAATGTTATATTTTATCACAGAACACAGTGGTGAGAGTGAGTTTGCTTTATTTTAGGGAAGAGAGGTGTTTTTTTTTTATAATAACTTTGTGTCCCATAGAAGTTAGCCGGATACTGGCTGGTTCATTCAGAATGAGAAAAGTCTACTGTAGTAGTAGTAGTAGTAGTAGTAGTAGTAGTAGTAGTAGTAGTAGTAGCAGTAGCAGTAGCAGTAGCAGTAGCAGTAGCAGTAGCAGTAGTAGCAGCAGCAGTAGCAGTAGCAGTAGCAGTAGTAGTAGTAGTAGTAATAATAATAACAATAATAACAATAATAATAATAATAATAATACCCTCCATGGGCACAGGTCTTGTTGAGGTGGAGGGGCTTGCGTGCTTCAGTGAGGTTGAAAGCTATGCTGAAGGGTCTCCCAAGCCAGACAAGTCTCAGCTGACAAGCCAGACCAACTGTATCCATGAACCGTCAATTAGGATGAGAGGAAATAAACAGAAATCCATACCAGATTGGTCATTGCCTTGGTCAACAAGGACCACATCAGATGCTATAGCCCCTGGGCATCTGGTGACAAATGGGCTACAGGGCTCAGCACACCCTGTTGAGGGACCAGGACAGGCTACTGCAAAGCTACTGGAACAATGTAAATGCAAAACAATGTAAATGCAAAAAAGTCAATATCTTGCGGGAATTCCGGATTTCAAATAGAAATTTAAGATAGAAATCTTAAACATAACAAATCAGCCATAGTAGTAACAGAATGAAGAAATATCTGAATCATTGACATTGCAATTCCAGGGGATGCCAGAGTTAAAGCTAAAGAATTGGAAAAACTAACGAAGTACAGAGACCTGGCAATCGAAACATCTCGCCTCTGGAAGAAACACACTTCATTGGTCCCCGTAGTTATTGGGGCTTTGGGAACAATATCAATAAATTTCAGGCAGTATTATAAGCAGTTACAGATTTCAGAAAGCTCAAAAAAACAGCAATATTAGGAATAGCATATATACTACATTGATATTTAACAGATACTTAGGTTTTTGGTTAAAATTTGTATCTGTTTCAGTGGTCCCCAACCGTTTTTGGTGCGTGAACTGGCTGGGGAAGGTGGGGCACCCCATGCGCTCATGTGCATTCGCTCGCTCACTCGCTCGCTCATGTATATGTGCAAACGGTGGTGCAGCACTTGTTTGGGTGTATTGGAGCACATGCGCAAACAGCAGCGCAGTGCTCACATGGGCATGTTGCAGCATGCGTACAGGCGCAAACAGGCTGTGCGGTGGTGAGTGGGGGCGGAGGGGGCGGGAGGTCTGTCTTGGTGGCCTGGTCCAGCTCAGACCACGGACTGGATCGGGGTTTGGGGACCTCCGTCTTTTATGATACCAGTCAATGTTTTTTTATAATTTGGATTGGCTGTGCCTCGTATTTTTGAATCATCATCATTCACCCATATCTTGATAGGCATGTTTTTCCAGCTTAGGGGCAATTAATACCCATTTGTACTTCCCTCTCTCATAGTGCCAGTCCTTGCATGTCCTTCTGTATTTCCATATGCTCAGTGTAATTTTACAGCATTTCCCTCTTTTGAGGAATGTAATGCCCTAGCCACCACTGTAGGTAGTCTCCCAGCAGTTGTTTAAGTTGCACAAGACCATTTTTTCCCAAGTGAACTATGGAGTGGATGGAGTCCTCCAGCACTTTTATTCTGTTCACATGGACAATAACACACCACTTTGCTTTCCTGAAAAATGTATAGAGAAGCAACCAACATAATGAGCAGCACAAGACATTGGTTACAGACACAGACGCACAGAGAGCAGTTTTAACAAGTCTGATCTGTGGGACTTGGCAATAAGCAGTAGATTACCATTTGAAAAGTAATGTTTCAAGCCCTGTTTTCCTATAACAAGTGATCATAGAGGTACAGTTTGGAGTACCACGAAACCACTGTTCAAATCAAGGAATGCTTGTGAGACATAGTAGTTACCGTATTTGCCGGCGTACAAGATGACTTTTTGGCCCTGAAAAACATGCCTCCAAGTGGGAGGGTCGTCTTGTACGCCGGGTGCATATCCAGCAAACCCTCCCTTTCTCCCAGCGAAGTCACTTACCTGGTAGTAAGACCGAGTAGAGCCCTGCTCCTAGCCTGGGAACAGCCTGACTCTAGCGCCGAACAGCTGACTGTCGGAACAGCAAACCCTGGCTCTCTCCGAAAAGGAACCAAAAGGAACTCTCCCTATGATGCAGCCAAAGCAGAATCACGCATGCCGAAGAGGGCGTAGTCTTATACAGCAAGTATATAACAAACTCTACATTCTGAGTCGGAATGTTGGGGGGTGGTCCTATACGCCCAGTCGCCTTATACACCGGCAAATACGGTATTGTATGTGGTTAACTGTCCAAGAGATAAGGCTTGTCCTAAGAGAAACACCAACATGAATTTGGTTTATATGTTTGTCTTGTTGTTTTAGTTGTCAGGTTTGATATAGATGCACTGTTCAAACTTTGTGCGTGGCAGACCAGCCTTTTCTGTGAATTTGTGCAGGTGATATTTAAGGATTTGTCACAGCAGTATGTCTCTCATGGGGACAATTGCTTTCTCCATTTACCTATAGAGAAGAACGTCTACCCCTGAAAACCTCCCTAGTAGAGCTACTGTAAACAGCTTCACTGGTGTAGCTGTACTACCAGTGATGAAGCCAGAAAGATTGTGTTTTAGAGGCAAGTTGTGAATACAATAAATCTCAAGTCTTCATGTTCCCTCTACATTCATGCACTATCATAGATAAGACCTGGAGCTGGTTCAGTAAATTTGCTCCCGATGGAGTCAGTGTAGGTGGAGATGAGAAAATAAAAGTAAACTCACTAGCGCCAGTACCTGCCTTGGCCATGGCTAAGTGGTGAGACTTCAGTGTGAGAATGTGGCTCCAACAAATTTTATCTTGCTGTATAGGACTGCTGCTTCAGTGTGATAATTTCTTCTTTCTTTTGATATGTATGTTAACAATTAATCATATTTCAATATTAACTTTTTCTGGTTTGTTTTTCAGCTTCCCCATTAATTAGGAACCACTATATATATATGATTGAAATATGATTGTGTGTGTGCATTTTTTCAGCTTCCCCATTAATTAGGAACCACTATATATATATGATTGAAATATGATTGTGTGTGTGTATTTCTCTCTATCTCTATCTCTCTGTCTGTCTGTCTGTCTGTCTGTCTGTCTATCCATCTATCTATCTAAACTTTGTGCTATTCTATTCCAGACATCTTTTGTTTTCAAAGTTTCTTCTCCTATAGCTTTACCTGATACACACCTGCAGATTAAAATAAATGAACGTTTTCTGTGGGCTAATTCTTCTGAGGTTCTTTTACTGGATCATGTTGCAAGCTATTTTGAACAGCGAGGTGAACGCTGTGCTACATTAGGAAGCTTTGATGAAAGATTGCATGTATAATCCAACTTCAATCTAAATTGAGACAGTTCTTAAGAAAAAACATTTTCCAGGTTTAAATTTATTCAAGCTATTGCATTATGAGGAGACAGTAATCAGTAATGTTCATTCAGCAGTTGAGAAAATTAGGTTTGTAAGTGACACAGTGGTAAATTGCTTCATTTAAAGAACAGCTGGGTTTGGAGTAGCTAATTAACACCTGGTTTGTTTCAACTTAACCGTATTTATGAAGAAACAAATTATTAAAAAATCTCTTATTTAGGTTGTCTTGAAACTTCAAGTAGTGCACCTGCCTGAGAATCCCTGTAAGTGTAACCATTTGACCTTCCTTTCATACCATACAAGGTAATAGTAGCCCCAGGAGAGAGGTTTCCATTGATGCCAAGCTTCAGAAATGGTGTTTTGATCACTTATGTTAACTGTTGAGAATTCTTTCCCATTATTTATTCCAGGTTATCACCTTCAAACTGCATTGGGCCTGAAAACACAGAAAAACAACCCCCTCTTCCCCAAGAAACCAGAAAATGCCAAAGGTCTGCTTCCTGTTGGCAGATGACAACAGATAGTACAGGGCTGTTGTGCACTTTATTTTTGCACATAATTACTGCACATACCCCTCAGCCATGGAAGGTCTAGGGACAACCGAGGGCAACAATAGCAATATTCAGGGGGCTACATATTGCCCATCACTGCTCAGCAGTGATGTAGAGAAAAGAAACATCAGCTGCTTCAAAAACATTACTGTGTTGTGGTTCATAAATTAAGATGGGCCATGTGGTGTAACTGACTGGCAAAGTAGTTTTTCCTCTTCTTAATGTTCAACTTCAGTCTCGGTTCCGCTTCTCTGTAATAATTCATTTGGTGCCACTAGTTTTTATGCTGTTGTTATGTTACTGTTACTTGTGTTATATTTTAGTGTTTACAGTTTGTGGAGTTTTGGTTTTAATCTTTTGTAAACTGCCCAGAATAGTGCTTCAGCACTAACGGGGCAGGATATAAATTAAAGTAATAAATAATAAATAACTGCAGTCCTTCTTTGGCACTTTTTTTCTTTCAGT